AGAGTTAACAGAGAATCCAGGAGTCTCTCCTGGCTCCAAAATCTACCAAGCAGGTTCCAAAAGTGCACTCTATCAACCAGAAAGTACTCTACCTTAACTACCATTACTATTCCTTAATTAAGCCCATCTGGTGTTGGGCAGCATTAAAAGAAGCATAACATCCAGGATGAGGGAAGTAATGGTCCCTGAGTAAGCCATAGCTGAATTTCTGTGTTCAGTTCTGGACACTACATTTTAGGGAGAATACTGATAAACTGAAGAGCAGCCAGAGGAAGGCAGCAAGGATAGGCCTTGAGATAATGATGATGATGATGATGATGATGATGATGATGATGATGACAATGATGGCATTATTGCAGTTAGCATTTACAGAGAGATTCAAGGTTTGCAAAGCACTTAACATACATGATCTCATTAGATCTTCACAACATAACCATGTGAGATAGGTGCTGTTATAATCCTCATTTTGTAAGTGAGGAAAGAAGCACAGAGAAAGTGACTTGCCCAGGGGTCACACAGCTAGAAAGAATCAGAGACAGGACTGTGATTCTAGTCTTCCTGACTCCACACCCAGTGCTTTCTTCCCTACACCACCAACAAGCCTTCTGAGGGTTAGTTGAAGGAACCAGGGCTGTTCAGCCTAAAGAGAGGGCTCACTGAGAACTAATAGTTGTCTTCAAGAATTTGAAGGGCTGTTGTTCTGCTTGCCCCAGAGGATAAGACTAGAAACAATAGGTGGAAGCTGGAGAGAAGTAGATTTAGGTTGGAATAAACGGCCTCTTCCTTTTCCCAAACCACCAGCACCAGCCATTCAATGAGAATGTCTCCCAGGCTCAGGTTTAGGGAATGGACTTTGACCTCCTCTAGCAAAAGACCTCCACTATCTTTCTCACTTTCACTGAGGGTTCAACTGGGATTTCCTGAGAAGCAAACAGAAGAGGAATTTAATTAAAGGAGAGGAGAGAATTATGAAAAGAGGGAACCGTGAGGTCTTGCCAGCCAGGGTTCTAAAAATCCCCATTCTGATGAGAATGCTGTGTAATGGGCCTGTTTCTTCTTAAATTTCCATCGGGTGCCCTTGGTGCCTGAAAATCCACAGTCAAGTCCAGTTCAGGTTTTTGACATCAGAACAAATAGGAGTGGGGGGAGGTGTCCAGCTTCTCAGAAACCAGGGTTACTGCAGGGATGGACAGAACAAGGTTAGTGAACCAGATTCCTGGCTTCTTTCTTAACTGACTTGGAGGACATTACATTTCTCCACCATTGGCAGCAGGGCATTAAGAGTTATAGGGGGGGAAAGAAAGAAAAAAATTACCAAAACAATTCCTATGTAGGAAGTAATGATACTAAATACAGAACACTGTTTTGTTGTAGGGGAGAGGATTTAACCATCAGATAAATGCCACTATCCATCTCATCGCAGTGCTAACGCAAGGGAAGCAGACAGCTCAAACTATCCTGAGCTCCTCTTGGGGAACAAGCATGTATTACATGCCAAATATGTGCCAAGTACTTTATGAGTATTGTGTCATTTCATCCTCACAACAACCCGGAGGGGTGGGTGCTGTTGTTCTCCCCATTTTACAGTTGAGGGAACTGAGGCAGACAGAGGTTAAATGACTGGCTCAGGACCAAACTCCTAGCAAATGTCTGTGGCTGGATTTGAACTCAGGTCTCAATCAACTCAGGCCACATAATCTTACCCCAGTCCCTCAAAATCCCAAACAAGGGCATTTCTTGTTTCCCCTGGACTCCGTCATACTTACTCTACAAGCCCTCTACCCACAAACTCCTCCAAGTCTATGAATCTTCCCCCATTTTGACTCTAAACTCCTTTAATCTGACTCCATGAAATTTTCCATCCCAGGCTTCTTCCATTTTATTCATCAGCACCTCTTTAATATAAGCTTCCTCTATCCTATTTCCCAAGACCTCTCCTCTACCTATCCTTCCTCCTCCACCCCACACACATACTGTACTACAGTGCAAAAGAAGGGAACCCCATTTCTGTGGCTAACATTTTTAAGGACAGGGCTAAGGTCCAGACTCATCACATCACATCTATGACCTAGGCTCAACCACCATTTAAAAAAAAAAAAGAATCTCTATCTCCTATGAGAAGTAAAGGGAATAAATTTTCAAAATAGGACCAGCTTCCAGGAGACCACACATGCCCAAGGTCAATATTGAAATACAGTTCATTGTTACCAGGCTCAGTTTGGACTGACTATCTATCTCGCTTCACAGCAGGCACTGGTTTCGGGAGGGGATAAAGGAAGCAGAATTGGCTGCAATGGTAGCATACTTCAGCTTTCCTGCAGAATCTGCTAACAGATCCCAAGGGATCAATTCCCCACCCCTTTCCTCTAGCAGCTAAGACAGCCTCTGTTCTCACCGCCAGGGCCTGGCACCTGGTATGTGATGAGGCTTTAAAGGGACCTCCTGCCCTGAAGAGATGATTTAAGACCACCCAAATTGGTATGCGCCCTACACCTTCCATCAGGCAGGATCCCAAAGGATTTCAAATGTAGAACCTGTCTTCTGATAGATGTAGAGAAATGGTGGGGAAAGGATTAGAGGGATAGGGTTTGTGTGAAGTAGGGGCCAAGTGATTAATCGTCTGTTCCCATCAACTGACCTGGCAAGTGGGAGAAGGTAAAAAGTGAGGATATTCTGCAAACTTGTTTAAAAAACAATTACAATTTTGATTACCTACCCATGCATCTACTAATATCCCTATTCCCCCTACCTCCTCTGACCTCCACAGATTTCATCTTAGAGGGGCAAATTCCCAGACAGGCTGTGATTGAGGCTCTGGGCACAGTGACACATGGTTTTTGGATCACACCATCCTAGCTCCTGCCCCCTCACTGGGCTGGCTGTTTTCAGTGCAGTAATAGGAGATTGCAGCTAATCTGCCCTCTCTGTTCAGGTAACAGTAACTGAGTGGGAAAAGTAGAGATGACCTGACTTTGGCTCCTCAGCTCTCTTTGTAGACCCAGTCTTGGGCAATGAAAAACACAAAGACCACTGCTCCAGTTAAACACAGGGCCCCAGAATTTAGCCTGGGCTGATTGGCAGCTGTCATGTAATCCCATTCTAGAACTATATCTATTGGGCTTTCTTAAAATCTGTAACCTCAGGCCTTTCCCATTCTACAGCAGGATGTCTCATGTTGTGTGTATGTATGTGTGCACTCCTGTGTTTAAAACATATTTCAAATCAAATTCCAGATGAGCAGTATATATTAAGGGAAGAATGTGGGGAAATGTTTTCATGCTGATTCTCCTAAACTGATTCCAACCAGGAGGACTGAAGAATTCGGCAGCAAAAGGTGGAGAATGCCAATTTGGCATCAAGGGGCCCACTGTCTCTAGGTCAATTTCATGGGATTATGTCTTCTCCTTCAAAAGTCCTCCGAGTTTCAAGGTCCCAGACAGTCCTATCCCCTTCCTACGACTCCAAGGTTGCAATGAGAAGGCACTTCTGGGAAAACTGCCCTCTATCATTTCCTTTTTGATCTACAGGTGCCAGTAAACAAAGTGCTGCATCAACACTGGCCCAGAAGCCTGTCTGCACAATCCCTGCAACTTCCTCCCCACCCCCAGCCCCTCCTTCACTGCAAAGCCCTGACCAAGGGGAAATTGGGGACTGAGTAGAGTGGAGAAAGAAAGCATCTCCCCCCTCTCCTCCAATCTGCTCCAGTCCAAGCAGGCCCTCGGATATGCAGGTTCTTTCTCAAACCAAATCTTACTCTGATTCAGATTTTGTCCTTTATCTAAGCCTGGTTCCTTCATCAATGACTGAAAATACAAAATGAGGCCCATGGCTGTCACCTACCTACATCAGGGCCTGAGCAAAGGAGCCCAGGATGGCCTAGGGAAGTTTCCCTTCCCCCACACAGTTTCAACCCCATTACCTTATCCTAGTTGTTCCAGTGAGCAAGGATTACGTCTCTCACCAGCCCCCTTGCCAAAGAGGGGTTACCAACAGATTAGACCCCCTCTGGCCCTTCTTACTTCCGTCTGAGCAAAGTCTCTCAGTCTATTTGAGGGGCTGGAAGGCACAACGCAGAGTCTGAGGTTGGGCATTCAGGAAAGGGCAGGAAACTACGACTTCACAAAAGAAGCAGGGGAGAGAAACCTTATTGAAGAAGAGACAATCTTTTTCCCTCTGACCTCTACGACCACCCCCATTTCTGCTGTCCCTCCTGAAAAAGAAAATAGGTCTCCATCCTGATTTGCGAAGATGAGGAAAGACCTTTCCGTGGTCTCTTCCCCATTGTCCCCATCCTCTAACCCTCAATGGCCCCAAGGACTGGCCCCACCCCTCCCACCGGTGTCCCCCTTTGCCAGAGATCCCAGACCCCCACCCTCAAGGGGCTGAATCTCTGGGGTTCTCCAGGATGGGAATGATGGGCCGGCGCCGGGTCTTCCCACCTCCCTCTCCTTCAAGGAGAAGAGGAAGGGTGAGGGTCACCCCCAGCCCCGCGGGGGCTGAGGAGTTGCGGCGGTGGCGGCGGCGGCGAGCTGGCAGCTTGGCAAGAGCTCCGGGTGTATGTTGTTTACTCTCACTGCCGAGGCAATTAGGAGGCTCTGCCGCGAAAGCTGCTGGCTGCAACACGCCGCCGCCGCTCCCTGGCTCCTGGCTCCCGGCTCCTTGGCTCCCGGCTGCCAGCCTCTCGGCCGCTCCGTTTCTGCACCAAACCCCCCTCCCACCACCCGGTGCTCCGGGCCGCCTCCACTGCTTGCAAAGCCCTAAGCTACTCTACAAGCCCACTCCCATCGCCCAGCTTCAGCCCGGTGCACCCGAAATTCCCATCTCTTCCCCGCTCCTGGACGCTGGAGCCGGGAGGCGGGCAGGGCCCTCACCTTCCAGCTCATCCCGTCTGGTCCAACCTGGTTCTCTCCTCCCTACCCTACCCTACCCCACCCCACCCCACCCCACTCTACCCCAGATCAGTCCCACGCCGCCGCGGGGCTGCGGCTCTGCAGACTCACGTCTCGGAAGCGGTTCCAGTGCTTGATCTTGCCGCTGTACTGGGAGATGGACGACAGCCATTGCTCGTCCTCCATGAAATTGCCAGGGGTCTCGCCATCCTTGACCCCCTTAGAATCTCCCTCCGCCGAGCCGGGTGCAGGGGTGGCGATGAGCAGAAGGGGCAGCAGCAGCAGCCGCAGCCCAAAGCCCTCAGAGCTCATCTTTGATCTGGATTGGGGTTGGTCAGTCTTTGTTTTATTTTTTGGTTTTGCTTTTTAAATTTTCTTTGCCTTAATTTCCTTCCCTCTCTCACCACAATGCAGTCAAAAGTCTTCTCTCCTCCTCCTCCACCACTGAAGTGATTGGGGAAAGAGATGGATGGTAGGTCCTAGATGAAATGTGACCTGATTAGGAGATGCGCTTGTCTGAAAACCCCCAGAGCTGGAAGCAGAAAGGCAAAGAGAATCAGAGGCTGCGCCAGGAGGGGCTGTGTCTGTAACTGTAGCATCAGCATCATGTTTGACATCATCATACCTGGCTTGAGGAGAAAAAAGGGGGGAGGGAGGGGAAGAGAGACTGAGAGACTGAGATACTGAGATAGTGAGACAGAAAACAGGAGCCCAGAAAAACTGCAGGCTGCGATTTCCAAGCAAATGGGCAGATCGGAAAACCAAACGTGATCAACAGTTCAGCCCAACTTAGCTCACAAATGGAGTTGAAAATAAGGGAATCCAAGTTCCACGGAGGGCACTGCCCTGACTAACAAGGAGGACAAAGGGTAGGAGGGGGCAAGGCCCATCTTCCCAGCAAGATGGGATTCTGGAAGAAACCAGAGGGGTTTCTAGACCTCGTAAAAGGATATTTTGTTCCAATTGTCCTTTTCTTTTTTTCCCCTTTTCACCCCAAGTCCAGATTTCCAAGACTAGAGCTGTCTCTAGGACAGGGGTAAGCCTCAGCGCTGGCCCTGGGTATGGCAGCTGGGCTCAGCTACATCGTGGTAACGGGGGACTCCATTAAGACAAAAGGAGTCTAAGAACTGGTCGTTGGTCTTCAGACCCACATGCTCTTTTCAAGACACAAGGGCTAGAAACTGAATGGATGGAAAACAGGACAGATGTCCTCCCTTCCCAAGCAGCTGGCTGGGGACTATCAGTCCTCTTGTCAGCTCTCACCAATTCTAAAAGGCAAAAGTCTGCCCATTTCACATGCCAAGAGGCTGCATCCTTGGTACTCTAGATGGTCATATTTCCTCATTGTCCTTATTGGACTTCACCTCAGATTGAATATGGTGAACCACTAATATAGGGAAGGGAGGGGGAGCTTAAGCATATTCTGTTGTTTCTTTCAAAAAAGATAACCTAAAAATTGATCAATTTTATATATATACATATTTTTTTAGTGGCCCCTGTAAATTGCTTGTTGGAATTTGGGAAAGCAGGAATAAGGTGATGTTTAAAATACAAATAAATTGAAAAAGAAAGCAGATAATCTAGCAGCATAGAACATGTTAACTCTCAGGACTCAATTATATTTTCATTCAAATTTAACTGCCACTATGACCTGAAAAAAAAAATTGAACAGAACTGACAAACATGATCTCAATCTTTGGAAAGAGAAAAAAACAGATTAAGATTTTTACATTTAGCCTAGGTTTGGTCTGTTTTGGAATTAAATATGAATACTTCAGCCATCTGGACTGGAATCCCATTGGAAGAGCAGAAAACAACCGATCCATTTCTGAATCTTATTTATTTTTGCCAATTTAATTAAGAGGTGGTACTGGATCAAAGGTCCTAGGCATTGATGCCTTCATCTAATCCCAACTAACGAAGTCATGCTTTCTCTTGGAAGGGAAGGGGTGGACTGTAAACCCATACAATCCTTGAGATCACTGAGCCACTCAGTCACTTAGTTCTATTAGAGGCCTTGCTTTTCAGTAAGGAATACTAAACCCATTTCTGTACATGTCAGCTTCCCGACTGCTGAACTGTTAACATACTGGACTGAATTTGAGATGGGAATTCTAGATGTTATAGTTCTTCTCCAATATATTTCAATCTCAAATGAAACCCCTTCCCAGAAAGGTGTAAGAAGCAACAGTCCAGCTGTGGGTCTGGAAAGGCCAACAGGCCACCCCATCAGGAAATGTGGGTCCAGGTACTCAAAGGCCATATTTCCCACAATCCTCTGTATCAGCTCCCTTTTAAAGGGCCTTTAAGGTAAATCAATATGAGTTCTATGCTGAAAGCAAGTAAATGATCAAGGTTTTCAAATAAGCCAGAACCAAAGTTGTAAAAGAAAAGAGGTTTCATTTTTCCAGACTGGTTTGGAATTGGGGGTGGAGGGGAAAAGATGACACAGAATGAGCGACAGCTTCACAAAATGGCTAGACGTTTGGTTTTAAAAAGAAAGAAAACACTAGAATTTTCTGTAAGAGAGGCTGTTCAAACTAATGAACCAATCTGTGTCCTAGAAGGAAACAAATTTGACCACATTTTCAAAACTTGCTCAGCTGTTACCATTTCAGGTTTTTACAATGTACCTGAAGGTTTAGCTAGGAACTTCACCAAGCATATGGAGTTTATTCCATGGACATTATCAAAGAGCATTCGGGAAATCCCAAATACACTGCAGCACCACATATCTCACGACCGTTCAAGATTGGTGATAGATTTCTCTAAACCTTTTGTGGTCAGTTAGATTCTGGAATTGTCGGTAAAGTCAGTGATTCAGAACACAAAGTTGTACTTTACACAATTTATTCACACAATAAATTTCCAATACATCTCCAGAGAGTTTGAATTACAAGGTGACAATGCTAACAGGGGAAGTGAGGTCACATACAAAACACCAACCTCGTCAAACAAAATCATGATCTGATGAGAAATGGACCTCTGAATCTGGAACACACGTTTTTGGCATCCTCCACAAAGATGCTTTGGGAGCTTCCTTACGTCACTACTTTAAAAACAAAAAACAAGTCCTTACCAAAACTACCAGTCACTCTCCTTTCTGAAGCAGCAGCTCTATTTGCTATTCCCAAAGAAATGCTGGCTTATTAATGCTCCTTCTAGTTAAAGGAAAAGCGGATTAACAACCTTCTTGAAGGGAACAGCAAAGACAAAAACTGTGTGGTATTCTGTTGGGATTTTAGTATTTACTACAATTTCTCTCATGATGTATACTTTAGGTTAATGACTAGAGCCTAGGAACGTTATTCCACATTGTTCAAACCGGGCGCATAATTTGACACCGTAAGAATTCTGAAAAGGTCTTTACCAACCAGATAATAAGATGCGGATAAGGGAGGGTAGGAATAAACAGGTAATAATGATATTTGTTAAGAAAGAACTCAAGAGAACAAGATCAGTGCTGGGATAAAGGAAATGAACTCTAAACTAAGCCGTACTAATCAATCAATACTATCCCTCCAGTGAGTTCCTATTCCCAGATGCCATCTAAGTAGTGATACAGGAATAATCTGTATTTAGGTAAAATCTAAATTTAATACAAAAATGAGTGTTATGAAAACCAAGTCCTTTGCAAAATGGGGAAGGGAAGAGAAAAAACCAAATAAAATAACCCATGTAGAGACTGGCCCACAGAGTTCCTAGACACAAAATTAATAACAATAACTAACATTTATATAGCACTTACTATATATCAGATACTATGGATAAAAGCATTTTAATACCAGTTTTATTTTTTATTTTTTAAAAGTAATATTTTATTTTTTCCCTAGTTACATGTGAAGACAATTAACATTTATTTTTAAAAACTTTTGAATTCTCTCCCTCTCTTGCCTACCCCTCCTAGAGATAGTAAACAATCTGTTACACATGATTAATCCTGCAAAGCATATACCATATTAGTCATGTTGTGAAAGAAGCCACAGGCCCAAAGAAAAAGAAACACACAAAAAAACACAGAAAATGAAAAACAGTATGCCTCAATCTGCATTCAGACTCCATCAGTTCTTTCTCTGGAGGTGGGTAGCATTTTTCATCATGAGTCCTTCAGGATTGTCTTGGACCACTGTATTGCTGAGAGTAGCCAAGTCACTCACAGTTGATCATTGTACAATATTACTATTATTGTGTACAAGGCTTTCCTGGTTCTGCTCACTTCACTGTGCATCAGTTTATATAAGCCTTTCCAGGTTTTTCTGAAATCAGCCTGCTCGTCATTCTTACAGCACAGCAATATTCCATTACAATCACATACCACAACTTGTTTGGCCACTCCCCAACTGATGAGCATCCTCTCAATTTCCAATTCTTTGCCACTACAAAAAGAGCTGCTATAAATATTTTTGAACACTAGTTTTTCTTTTTAAAGTGATAAGTTTCTAAACAAAAGCAAAGTCAGAACAAAGTCAGACATGAAAAGGATGTTTAGAAATACTAACGAAAAAAGACACATTTAATTTTGGAAATTATTTTATTTGCAAATAAGCTAAAGAGTTACATTATTATATAACTCTAGAAGCATTCCTCATATGTTGTGAGACCTTGTTAAAAAATTAGTAGTTGGACTTTGGGGGAAAGGAGGAAGGAGTGAGAAAAAGGATATTATGGGAAGACTTTGGGGAAAGTCTTGATCATCCACCTTGAATACAGCCCCCAAACTTCTGAGTTCCCCTGAGAAAAAAAATAAAAGGAAAGGAACTTGGAGTGAGGGGTGAAAGAGAAAAACAAATTAACAGTCAGTACACCAGCATAAGGAGGGAAGACTGGGATGGGACAAAGCCAAAGCTATGAGCACTTCTCCCTCTGCTGGTCTGCAGCAAGAAGTGAGCAGGTTCTAGCACTGACATTCTCCCAGGGAACTTTAGCACAGTCCTGCTGATACCATCAATGTTTTCACTGCTGCTGTCCAGAGAAATGAATAAAAGCCACCACACTGACTGCAGTTCCATTAGATACAAGGCGTTGGGTAAAATGAAGATCTGAAAAAGAAATGTAAAGGTATCAAACCTGCAGCAAAGAGAAACCCTTCAGCATCATGGAGAACGAGAACAAACTTTTAATCTTAAATCTTAAAATATTCTCCCCAGTAACTGTATAATAGTTAGATATTAAGACCTAAAGTAGTAAACAAAGCGACTGAGACACCTAGAAGGGAAGGGCTTTCAAAAGGGTGCAATCGTTTGCTGAAGATTATGAATTTTTAATATTTTCAAAGCACTTGTACTAATTCCGGGAAAACCCAAGGAATAAAAGCAAAACCAGTCAAGTTAAATGGAAATGGGGACTGAAGGAGGGATTCATAATTTAAGATTAGGGAACCCAAGAAATAAAGGTCCATAATGCATGTTTCAGAATTTTATTATTTAATCCACTATTTACACATTCTGAAGGGTCCCAGAAATTCATTTGTAGAGATGGACTTTGGAAAAGAAGGTGGATCTGGCTGGCAATTGAGAGGTTAAGGGCCCTATGCCCAATTTTTGCTTCACCTACCTCGGCAGTCAGGTTGGTAGCTATGGATT